TAAAAAAAATTTTAATATCTATTACTATATTTATTAAATTTAAATTTAAGATTTTATTTAAATAATATTTTCACCCAAATGCATCACTTGATTTTATATAGAGTTTATTTAAGTAAAAAAATTGAATGATCGAATAAGTCAAAAATCCCGCTCAAATATCAAATCCCTTGTCATATGGTCATATAAGCATGACACGGCAATATTTTGCCATTCAAGCAGCCAGGCGAGCAAGTCCCAAACGGCAGTTAAGCCAGGCGAGCGAGTTTGAAACGGCGGTTAAGTTGGCGTAAGAAGAAGGGTTTAATACTTTAATTGCCTTGATTGCAGAGTTCAAGGGCTTATATGCATCAATTAAAGTCTAGGGGCTTAATAGCGATTCTGGGGTTAGTTCAGGGGCTTAACTTATGGTTTTGCCTTAACAAATAGCATCACGGACTCAATTAGCAAAGGAGTTAATTGGCTTCGATTGTGGGGCTCGAGGACTTACTTACCCCTCTTTTAATTCAATGGTTGACGGCATATTGTTGGAAAAGTTGACGAGAAGCTTAAAGAAGGAGTTTTTCCATGCTAGAATCAAGGCATTGAATTACGTCAATGATCCCATTCTGTCATACATAGACTAGTTTTTCCACTCTCCATTAATTAAATCCACATATTAATGCCTTCCCTAAAAATACTTCATATATACTTCTTGATCATTGGCTAGTTTGGATTAAGAATTATTTCTTCAAAAGGACATGAGAATGACTTTTCCATGATGATCTTACCTTCCGTAGGACTTCGAATAAATGTTAAAGGAGTTGTTGTAGAAGCCATGTGAAGGAATCCATGTTTTACGGATCTTGTTTTTGGCTTTTTGCAACGAAAAGCAGTCAACTATATGGTAAGCTCGTTCAACTTTAGAAGAGTTAGAAAAAGTCATAGCCCCCACCAAACTTGATGGAGATTTTCAGGAATTGTTTCTATCAAATGCTGCAGTTAATGAGGAACCCAATGTTATATTCTGGTATGTTTGAGCTACAACAGAAACTAGCAATACAAAAAGTAGACTGAGATGGAGAGAATATGGAGAAGCAAAAGCCATGGTCTAACACAGATAGAAGAAAATAGACTTTGAAATTTTGTGCAGAAACTAAATGCTCTTGCTACAGCTATATACAGTCTCTTTGTTCTGTTCTATCTACGCATGAAAGAACTACTTGCGTGTTGTGACTAGTGAAGGCAGTTATGCAAAGGCAAAAATATGACATAAGGACCCGAACTTACACCAAATTCGCAATTTCGGACCCAAACTTTGATTGCGCTCAATGAAGGTCCCGAACTCCACCAAATTCTCAAATAAGGACCCAATTGGACGGAAAATTAACTTCCGTTTAAATCTCCTATTATTCCGTTAATGTTCCGTCACACTTCACACCCGCACTGAAAAAAATTGATTAAATTCTAATTTTGGTCCCTCAACTTCATTAAATTGCACTTTTTTGTCCCTTAACTTCATTTAAATTTCACTTTTTGTCCCTTAATTTGATTAAATTGCACTTTCTTATCCTTCAGTTTTATTAAGTTATACTTTTTTGGTCTTTAAACTATTTTTTGCACTTTTTTGGTCCTTAAATTATTTTTTGCACTTTTTTTATTCTTTAACTTTAACAACTGCACAATTTTGATACTTTCGTCAGTTTAAACCGTTAACTTCATTCATGTGATATTTTTTATATTTTTTTGATGACATGTATAATCTAATTGGAAAAAAATAATAACATAAATCATCTAACTAGAAATAATGATGACATGGATAAATAAAATAATATGTAGATAAATTTTTATATTTTTAATAAAAATAAAAAAACCTCTCCACCTATTTTCTTCCCCCGCTAGAAGAAAGAAAAAG